AGCGCCTGAAATGCTCCTTGTGCGTTTGTCGCTGCTCCAGCAGCAGCCGCCGAGGCTCCCTCAGCCGTCGGCACCGGGAGCATTCCGTGCCTCTGGGGCCTCGCTCATGGCAAGGGGCTGTTCCCGCTCAGCTCGCAGTGGAGTCCTCACCTCCGCAGCTGGAACGGCCAGCTCTGCTGCACAGCCAGGCCTGGGCACTTGGCAGCTCAGGGGCTTCTTCCCCACTGGGCTTTCTCACCTTCCCGACGTGTCTTCAACTCTGTGAGGTCACTGCTAATCCCCAAATCCAGACGACCCTTGGACCACTCCGACGATCAAGACTGCGCAGATTCAGAAGCATTCCATTATTTGTGCTCCCTAATCCCCTAAATCAACTTCACACCTCCTTTATCCTCCTGTTCCACTTGTCCCTTCTTGCCAATGGCAGCGCTCGGCCTGAGCACTTCAGAGCAGTTTCCTAATGGCCCATCAATGAGAAGCTGGAGAGATCTGAGCTCCCCACTGCTCTCCTTTATCACCCACTGCCAGTCTGGTGTCATTTGTTGTGCTTTGTTCATCACTTTCCCTCTTCCTTGTTCTTCCCTTGGAAAGGAAAATGGACGTGATGTGAGCCTCGGAGAACCAGACACTCTCGCCTTTCACATGCCCTGACTGTGGCCTCTGCTGAACTTGCTCAGCCCATGGAGTTCCTCAAGATGCTGAAAGGCTGCTGTCCCCAAAGGAAACGGGGTCTCTAGAGCAAGTGTCGGGAGAGAAACCTGATGTGGAGCTCAGTCTTTCAAGTGTCTCCCTCCAACACTTGCACCATTGCTAAATCCCGTTATTTGTTCTTGTGGATGCTTGACATGTTACTAACGTGAAGAGAAGGGACCAATTAGTTTAATGGGGCAGTTGGGTGTGAAGGAGCACTTCGATGATTTGAAATACTCTTCTACTTCTCCTGACTTATTGTTTTACTTCCCGGCTGTTCTACTGTTTCACGAAGGTGGTGAATGATCATCCATGAGTGTTTTGGGAAAAGTGGGGATGGGAACGAAACATGTAGAAAAGTGAATTCTAGGCTGAAAGCACACCTCATTTACACATCCCGTTGAGAATGCTGCCTCTTATTCACGTTGCAGTATGGAACAGAGACATTTCAGCAGCGACAGAGATAGAGATTCCTTTGTCAGCTCAGAAAGTCTGACTGCAAACCCGTCTCATGACAAGACCCATGGAGGTGACAGCACTCCATGAATTAGTGCCTGTGTGCGTGTCAGTGCAGCAGCTCGGTCAGTTCGCAGCCCAGGAGCTCTCCAGGAGCAGCTCTTTGCTTTGCAGAGCCGGCTGAGAGCAGCAGCAGCAGCAGCAGGCGTGGCCGGAGGGCGAGAGGCGCTGGCAGAGGCGCCTTTGGGCGCAGCAGTTGGGTGCGAGGCGGCGGCGGGCTCGGGAGCGAGGGGAGGCCGGGCTATGCGCGGCGAGCATGCGAGCGCAGGGTGCGGGCGGGTTGTGAGGCCGTGCGGGGCCGTGCGGGGCCGTGCGGGGCCGTGCGGGGCCGGTGCGGGCGGGCT